AATCTCCAAATCCCAACAGGGGCTCTCTGAACACCAAAGGTAACCCCAAAACATAACAGGGACACTCTGTAATCTAGGAGGATCCCCAAAACCCAATGGGGACACCCTAAACCCCAAAAGCATCCCCAAAACCCAACAGGGGCTCCCTGCACCCCAAGGGTAACCCCCAAAACCCAATGGGGACACCCTGAATCCCAAAGGTACCCCCAAAATCCAATGGGGACACCCTGAATCCCAAAAGCATCCCCAAAACATAACAGAGACACTCTGTACCCCAAAAGCATCCCCAAAACCCAATGGGGACACCCTGAATCCCAAAGGTACCCCCAAAACCCAATGGGGACACCCTAAACCCCAAAAGCATCCCCAAAACCCAATGGGGACACTCTGAATCCCAAAAGCATTCCCAAAACCCAATGGGGACACTCTGCACCCCAAAGGTACCCCAAAACATAACAGGGACACTCTGTAACCCAGGAGCATCCCAAAAACCCAATGGGGACAGCATGAATCCCAAAAGCATCCCCAAAAAACATAGCAGGGACACTCTGCACCTTAAAGGCATCCCCAAATCCCAACAGGGGCTCCCTGCACCCCAAAGGCAACCCCAAAATGGGATCTCTGGGATCAAGTGTTTGGGATCCACAGATTTTGGGGGATTTTCCAGATGCCCACAGGTTTTAGGGGATTTTCCAGATTTTATGGGATTTTATGGGATTAACTGGCTGTGCATCCCACCCTGGCTGCCCCCCTTGAGCTCGGGGTGGTTTTGGGGAGGGGTCAGATCCCTCCCTGCTGACCCTCCCATATTTTTGGGGTGATTTTGGGGTTCTGGGGTCCCCCCTGGCCCTCACCTGACAGGATGAGCAGCTCGAGGATTGCAACGTCTCCGATGTAGGCAGCAGCGTGGAGAGGGGTCCGGCGTTCCTGGTCCTGCAGGGGGGACAGCTGTGAACTGGGAGGGACTGGGAGGGACTGGGAGGGGCTGGGAGAGACTGGGATGGGGCTGGGATGGGCTGGGAGGGGCTGGGATAGGATTGGGAGGGACTGGGATGGGATTGGGAGGGATTGGGAAAGGATGGGAGAGACTGGGAGGGACTGGGGTGGGGCTGGGGATTGGGATGGGAGGGACTGGGATGGGGCTGGGAGGGACTGGGATGGGGCTGGGAGAGACTGGAAGGGACTGGGAGGGATTGGGAAGGAACTGGGAAAGGATGGGAGAGGATGGGAGAGCGTGGGAGAGACTGGAATGGGACTGGGAGAGGCTGGGAGGGACTGGGATGAGGATGGGGATGGGATGGAATTTATGGGACTTATGGGATTTTGGAATGGGATGGGATGGGACAGAACAAGATGGGATTTATGGGATTTATGAGATGGGATTTATGGGATTTATGGGACGTGGATGGGGATGGAGATGGGATGGGATTTGTGGGATTGATGGGACTGATGGGACTGATGGGATTTGTGGAATTTGTGGGATTGATGGGATGGGCATGGCAGGGATCTGGGAGCCCTGAGTGAGGTTTGGCAGCAGCAGCAGCAGCAGCAGGGCCCTCACCAGCACATTGATGTTCTCCTTCTGATTGAGCAGCGACCGAACCTCCTCCACATCCCGGTTAAAGATGGCCTGGACCAGAGGGGGCTGTGGGGACACAGAGGGGACAGTGACAGTGACACAGCTGGGATGGAACAGGGGGGACACAGAGGGGACAGTGGCACTCCTGGAATGGGTGTGACAGTGACAGTGACACAGCTGGAATGGGGACAGTGACACAGCTGGAATGGGGAGGGGACACTGACACAGCTGGAATGGGGGGACAGTGATGGGGACACAGGGGGTGGTGACAGTGACACAGCTGGAACAGGGGGTGACAGTGACAGTGACACAGCTGGAACAGGGGGTGACACTTATGGGGACATAATGAGGGGTGACAGGGGATACAAGGAGAGGTGACAGTGACACAGCTGGAACAGGGGGTGACAGTGATGGGGACACATCTGGAACGGGGGGTGACATTCCCAAGGTTCTCCTGTTCCCGGTCCAGATGTCCCAATCCCCAGGATTCTCCCATTCCCAGAGTTCTCCCATTCCAGGGGTTCTCCCATTCCTGGGGTTCTCCCATTCTTGGGGTTCTCCCCATTCCTGGGGTTCTCCCCATTCCTGGGCTCTCCTGCTCCTGACCCAGGTGTCTCAACCCCAGGGATTTCCTGTTCCTGATCCCAGTGTCCCATTCCCGTTCCAGGGCCGGGGGATCCCATTCCAGGGGTTCTCCCAATCTCATGGTTCTGCCATTCCTGGAACTCTCCTGTTCCTGATCCAGATGTCCCAACCCCAAGGATCTCCCGTTTCCAATCCAGGTTTCCCATTCCCAGGGCTCTCCCGTTCCTGGCCCGGGAATCGCAGCCCCGGGATTCTTCCATTCCCGAGCCTAAAGGTCCCATCCCAAATGGCTCCGCCGTTCCCGGTTCCAGGGGTCCCACTCCCGGTGCTCTCCCGGGGCAGGATCCCCCTTCGATGCTTCACATCTCTGGGCCAGAGAACCCCGGGGCTCTCCCGTTCCCGGCCCGGGATGTCCCAACCCTGGGCTTCTCCCCTTCCAGGCTCGGGGGTCCCATTCCCGGGGCTCTCCCGTTCCCGGCCCGGGGCTCTCCCATCCCCGGGGCTCTCCCATTCCCTGTTCTGAGGGTCCCATTCCCGGGATTCTGCTATTCCCGGCGCTATCCCGTTCCCGGCCCGAGGGTCCCATCCCTGGGGCTCTCTCGTTCCCGATGCAGCGCTCCCATCTCCGAGGCTCTCCCGTTCCCGGTTCTCATTCCCCGGCTTCTCCCATTCCAGGGTCGGGGGTCCCGTTCCCAAGATTCTCCCATCCCCGGCGCTCTCCCATTCCCGGCCCGGGGTTCTCCCATCCCCGGCGCTCTCCCGTTCCCGGCCCGGTGCTCCCATCCCCGGCGCTCTCCCGTTCCCGGCCCGGTGCTCCCATCCCCGGCGCTCTCCCGTTCCCGTTCCCGGTTCTGAGGCTCCCATTCCCGGGATTCTGCCATTCCCGGGGCTCTCCCGTTCCCGGTTCTGAGGCTCCCATTCCCGGGGCTCTCCCGTTCCCCATCCAGCCCTCCCATCCCCGGCGCTCTCCCGTTCCCGGTTCTGAGGCTCCCATTCGCGGCGCTCTCCCGTTCCCGTTCCCGGCCCGGCCCGCGCTGGGCCCGGCGGGCACGGGCAGAGCGGCTCCAAACGGCGACCCCGGCCCGTCCCGGGGCTGCAGCAGGACCGGGAGCAGCGGGGAGGTCTCGGCGGAGCGGGGCCCGCGGCCTGGGGCGGCGGCGGGCCGGGCCCGGTGGCGGAGCCGCGCTAGGCCGCACATCCCCGGGCTGCCGTAGCGGCGCGGCCCGGCCGAGGCGCGGCGGCGGCGGCGGCGGGCGGGATCAGCCAGGGGAAGGACGGACGGGGGGACGGCGGCCGTACCTGGTCCGTGATGCTGAGAACCCCCATGTCGGGGCCGCCCTCAGCGCCCAGCTCCCGGCATCGGGTCCGGCCGCGGCGGCTCCGCTCGGGCGGCTGCGGGGCGGGGATGGAGCGCCGGGGATGCGCCGCCCACCGGGCCCGAGCGGCGGCGGCGGGGGCGGCCCCGGAGCAGCGGCAGCGCCCGGGGGGACACGGCGGGAGCGGGACGGGGGTCAGCGGGAAGCGGCGGTGCCGGCCCGGGGGTCGCTGCTCTGGGGTGTGCCCGGTGGGAATGAAATCCATGAGGGGCTGTCGGTAACACCGGGGGTCCCGGCAATTGCTGTTCTGGGGTGTTCCCGGTGGGAATCGCATCCATGAGGGATGTCGGTAACACCGGGGGTCCTGGGGGTCGCTGGTCTGGAGTGTCCCCGGTGGGAATCACATCCATGAAGGGTTGCCGGTAATCCTGGGGGTCCCGGGGGTCGCTGCTCTGACCTGCTCTGGAGTGTCCCCGGTGGCAATCACATCCATTGGTGGCTGCCGGTAATCCCGGGGGTCCTGGGACAGCAGCTCCCCCAGCCCGAAGAGTGGTGGGGTGGTGGGAGAGGGTCCCAGGGGTCCCATGTGCCACCTTCTTCCCCTCCATGGGGTCTGCCCAGTGGGAATCCCATCCCCCGGTGGTCCCTGAGCAGCAGCTCCTCCATCCCAAAGGGTCCTGGGGGTCTCATTTCCCACCTCCATCCCCCTCTGTGGGGTCTGTCCAGTGGGAATCCCATCCCAGGTGGTCTTGGGGATCGCAGGGGGTCCCTGACCAGCAGCTCCCCCAGCCAAAAGGGCTCTGGAATGGTGGCAGAGGGTCCTGGGGGTCTCATTTCCCATCTCCATCCCCCTCTGGGCTGAACTGGGATGAACTGGGTTGTGCTGGGAGGAACTGGACTGGGCTGGGCCAGGTGGGACTGGTTGGCACAGGGTAATGCTGAGCTGGACTGGGCTGAACTGGGAGACACTGGGAGGCTCAGGGCTGTGCTGGGCTGTTCTAGGAGGCACTGGGCTGAACTGGACCTATACTGGGCTGTACTGGGATGTGCTGGGCTGCACTGGGAGACGCTGGGAGGCCCTGGGGTGTGTTGGGCTGTACTGGGCGGCACTGGGCCACACAGCTCCCGCAGGTTCCGTGTTCCCGGTCTCTCGGCTCCTCTGCCCGGTTCGGAGTGAGGCCGTTACCGGGACACGGCACCGGGGCTCCCCGTCCCTCTCCGGACCCACCGACCGGGACACACGTGAGAGGCGGGACCGGACGCCCCCTGGGACAGAGCCCACCCCCGGCAGCCCCGGAACGGGCACTCCCCGCTGGTCCTGGTCGGTCCCGGTCCCGGTCCCGGTGCAGCCGCAACCCCATCCAGCACTACATTTCCCATCACGCCCCGCGCAACCTCCGACTACAACTCCCATCATCCATCGCTCGGGAGGTGTCGCCTCGCCCCGCCCCTTGACGTACCCGCCGCTATGGCGACGCGGTGACGTCACGGGGTGAGAGGTCAGGGCGGCGGCGGCGCCGCGTCCCGGCCCGGTCCCGGTTCCGGCCCGGCCCCGGTCCCGGCCCGGTGATGGCGGCCCGGCGGCTCCGCGGCGCCCTCCAGCTCGGGGCGCGGCAGCGCCTGCGGGCCGCGGCGGCCCCGCCCGGCAGGTGAGCGGCGGCGGCGGCCACCCGGAGGTCACACCGGCCCCGGGGGCACCGGGGCGGCGATCGTGCTGCGGGGGCTCCTCCGGGCCTGGCAGCGCTCCCGGCCCCCGTGGGGTGTGGTGATCCGGGGGCACCTTGGCGGAACCGGAGGGTCCCGGTGGGGCTATCCCGGGGGTCCCGGTGGGGCCTGTCCCGGTTCCACCGGAAGGCCGCTGGGTGGGGAACACCGGCTGGGAGGGGCTGACCTTGGAGCGAACCCCGTGTGGAGACACCGGGAGCGGGCCGGTACCGGGGGATCCCGGGGGAACCGAGCCCCGGTGTCACCGGGAGAGGCGACAGCCCCGAGGCCACCCGGCTGTGTTCCCGCGGCCGTGACCTCTGCTCGGGGACAGTGGCGCGGGGACCCGGTGACTCCGGTGGGGACAATTCCCAAATTTCGGTGGGAAGGGCGGGATCTGCTCCGGGAGCGGCACCGGAGGGCACCGGGCACTTGACCCCGCCGGGATTAGCTGTCCCCGGCTCGGGTTTCCCGGCCTTCCTCCTCCTCCTCCTCCTCCTGGCAGCTGCAGCGCTGGCATCGCCCCGGGACCGGCACCGGCACCGAGCCCCGGCGGGGATTCCCGGCACGGGAGGGGCTCGGGAAGGGCGGGAGGGACCGGGAGGGGCCGGGAAGGGTCCCAGGGTGGTCAGGAAGGGACCTGGGGTGGTCTGGAAAGAGCCTGAGCAGGTCGAGAAGGGGCTTGGAATGATCTGAAAGGGTCTGGGATGGTCTGGAAGGGACCTGAGATGGCCTGAAGGGGTTTGGGGAGGTCAGAAAGGGACCCAAGGCTGTCTGGAAAGGGCTTGGGATGGCCTGAAGGGGTTTGGGGAGGTCTGGAAGGGACCTGGAAGTTCAGAGAGGGACCTGGGCACGTCTGGAGAGAGCCTGAGTTGGTCTAAAAGGGGTCTGGGATGGTCTGGAAGGGATTTGGGAAAGTCAGAAAAGGACCTGGAATTTCAGGAAGGGACCTGGGCAAGTCTGGAAAGAGCCTGAGCTGGTCTGAAAGGGGTTTGGGATGGTCTGAGGGGGTTTGGAGAGGTCTGGAAGGGACCTGAGATAGTCTGGAAGGGACCTGGGATGGTCTGGAAGGGATTTGGGAAGTCCTGGAGAGATTTGAGAAGCTCTGGAAGGGACCTGAGAAATTTTGTAGGAATTTGGGAAGCCCTGGAGGGGCCTGTGAGGCTCTGGAGAGACTTGGGAAGCCCTGGAGGGATTTGGGAAGCTCTTGAGGCATTTGGGATGCCCTGGAAGGGACCTGAGAAGCTCTGGAGGGATTTGGGAAACCTAGAAAGGATTTGGGAAACCCTGGAAGGGATTTGGGAAACCCTGGAAGGGATTTGGGAAGCTCTGGAGGGACCTGGGATGCCCTGGAAGGAACCTGAGAAACTCTAAAGGGATCTGGGAGTCTCTGGAAGGATTTGGGAATCTCTGGAAGGATTTGGGAAGCTCAGGAAGGGCCCCAAGGTGCCCCCGGTGGCAGGCAGTGACAGTCGGTGCTGCCGGTGCCACCCGGTGTCCCCGTGTGTCCCCAGGCACGCGTTCCCGTGCGGGCTCCGGCTCTCCCGGCTCTCCCGGCCGGGCCCCCTGGCCTGGGAGCCCCGAGCTCAGCCCAGCCGGGGCTTCCTGAACCTCAGCAACAAACGCAAGGAGTACTCGGAGAGACGGATCATCGGGTGGGTGACACTGGGGACACTGGGGACACTGGGACTGAGCCCAAACCCAACCCTGAGCACGGCCCTGAGCCTGAGCCCAAACCCAACCCTGAGCACGGCCCTGGGACTGAGCCTGACCCCAAACCCAACCCTGAGCCTGAGCCCAGCCCTGAGCACAGCCCTGAGACTGAGCCCAAACCCAACCCTGAGCACGGCCCTGAGCCTGAGCCCAAACCCAGCCCTGAGCACAGCCCTGAGACTGGGACTGAGCCCAAACCCAACCCTGAGCCCGGCCCTGAGCACAGCCTGAGCCCAGCTCCAAACCCAACCCTGAGCCTGAGCCCAACCCCAGCTCCACACCCAGCCCTGAGACTGAGACTGACCTGAGCCTGACCCCAATTCCAAACCCAATCCCAACTCCAGCTCCAAACCCAACCCTGACCCTGGCCCTGACCCCAGCCCTGACTCCAGTCCCAGCCCAATCCCAACCCCAACCCCAGCCTGACCCCAGCTTTAGCCCCAACCTCAACCCCAATCCCAGCCTCAGTCCCAACCCCAACCGTAATCATGGCCTCAGCCCCAACTCTGACCCCAACCCCAGCCCTGATCCCAGGCCCAGCCCTGATCCCAGCCCTAGCCCTGATCGTGGCCTCAGCCCTAATCCCAGCCCCAGCTCCAACCCCGACCCCAACTCTGACCCCAATCCCAGCCCCAATCCCAATCCCAGTCCCGACCCCAATCCCAACTCCAATTCTGATCTCAGCCTCAGCTCCAACCCCATCCCCAACCCCAACCCTGACCCCAATCCCAGCCCCAGCCCCAACCCCAATCCCATCTGTGTCCCAGGTACTCCATGCAGGAGATGTACGACGTGGTGGCCAACGTGGAGGACTACAAGAACTTCGTGCCCTGGTGCAAGAAATCCGTGGTGGTGTCGCGGCGCCAGGGCCACATCAAGGCCCAGCTGGAGGTGGGGTTCCCGCCTGTGCTGGAGCGCTACACCTCCATCGTCACCCTGGTGCGGCCACACCTGGTCAAGGTGAGCTCAGGAGGGGCTGGAGCAGCAGGAGGAGGCTCTGGAGAAACCCTGAGGGAGCTGGGAAGGGGCTCAGCCTGGAGGGAAGGAGGATCAGGGGGGAATTTTCACCCCACAAGTCTCTGGTGGGAGAGCGGGGTCAGGATCTGCTCCCAGGGAACGGCAGGAGGAGAAGGAACAGCCCCAAATTCCTCCAGGAGAGGTTCAGGAACAGCTCCAGATTCCCTCAGGGCAGGGTCAGGATGGACATCAGGAGGAATAAAAGGTGGTCAGGCTTTGGAGCTGCCTGGAGAAAAGGAGGCTCTGAGGGGAATTTTCACCCCAAAACTCCCTGATGGGAGAGTGGAGCCAGGTGGGATCAAAATCTGCTCCCAGGGGACACCAGAGCAAGAGGAAATGGCCCCAAGTTCCTCCAGGAGAGGTTCAGGGTGGACATCAGGAGGAATGAAAGGTGGTCAGGCTTTGGAACTGCCCGGAGAACAGGAGGCTCTGAGGGGAATTTTCACCCCAAAACTCCCTGAAGGGACAACAGGGATCTGCTTCCAGGGAAGAACAAGGAAAAACAGCCTCAGGTTGTTCCAGGGGAGCTTCAGTTTGGAATTTCCCCATGGAAAGTGCCCTCAGGCATTGGAAGTGCCCAGGGCAGTTCGGAGCTGTCCAGGATGTGGCACTGGGGAGGATCCCAGGCCGGGCTGGACCCGGGAGGTTTTTCCATCCTCGAGGATGATCCCAGTGCCCCCTTGAAGCTCCCATTTCCCCCTCCCCAGGCCGGGCTGAACCCGGGAGGTTTTTCCATCCTCGAGGATGATCCCAGTGCCCCCTGAGCTCCCATTTCCCCCTCCCCAGGCTGGGCTGAGCCCGAGAGGGTTTTTCATCACCGAGGATGATCCCAGTGTCCCCTGAGCTCCCATTTCCCCCTCCTGAGGCTGGGCTGAGCCCGGGAGGGTTTTTCATCACCGAGGACGATCCTGGTGCCCCCCTGAGCCCCCCTGAGCTCCCATTTCCCCCTCCCCAGGCCGGGCTGAACCCGGGAGGGTTTTCCATCCTGGAGGACGATCCCGGTGCCCCCCTGAGCTCCCATTTTTCCCTCCTGAGGCTGGACCTGGGAGGGTTTTCCATCCTCGAGGATGATCCTGGTGGCTCCCAGTGCCCCCTGAGCTCCCATTTCCCCCTCCTGAGCCCGGGAGGTTTTTCCATCCTCAAGGATGATCCCAGTGCCCCCCTGAGCTCCCATTTCCCCCTCCTGAGCCCGGGAGGGTTTTCCATCCTCGAGGATGATCCCAGTGCCCCCCTGAGCTCCCGTTTCCCCCTCCCCAGGCCGTCTGCACCGACGGGCGCCTCTTCAACCACCTGGAGACCAACTGGCGCTTCAGCCCCGGCATCCCCGGCTACCCCCGCACCAGCACCGTGGATTTCTCGGTACCGACCCCACCCCGGATCCCCCCCCTGCCCCCGGGGGAAGGCGGAGCTCGCCCACCCGGCCTCACCTCCTCCTCCTCCTCCTCCTCTTCCTCCTCAGATCTCCTTCGAGTTCCGCTCCCTGCTGCACTCCCAGCTGGCCACCGTGTTTTTCGACGAGGTGGTCAAGCAGATGGTGGCCGCCTTCGAGCGCCGAGCGGCCAAAAATTTCGGGCCCGAGACGCGAATCCCGCGGGAGCTGATGTTCCACGAGGTGCACCAGACGTGAGGGACAGAGCCGGGCCCGCCCCGAGCCCAAACCACCCCCCCAAAAATATTTATTCAACCAAGTGCGTTTCCTCCGCTGCTGTTGCCTCAACGCCCGCCGGGGGCTGCTGTGAGCCCCCCTCCCCTAATCCCAGGAGCTGATTTTGCAGCTGATTTGGGGTTTTAAGTTTTGGTTTGGTTTTTTTGGTTTGGTTTATTTTTATTTTTTTTTTTAACCCTTTTTTTTTTTTGGTTCTTTTTAAACTCCTCAGCCAGGCTGGAGGGCCCCGGTGGGGGCAGCTCCTGCTGTGCTCTGGGAGGGGTGGGGGAAAAGCTGCTGTGAGCCCCCCTCCCCTAATCCCAGGAGTTGATTTTGCAGCTGATTTGGGGTTTTAAGTTTTGGTTTAGCTTTTTATTTTTTCTTTTCCTTTTTTTTTTTTTTTAAACCCTTTTTTGTTGTTTTTAAACTTCTCAGCCAGCCCGGAGGGGGCCCCGGTGGGGGCAGCTCCGGTAGGAACAGGGGAGGGGGTGGGAAAAGCTGCTGGGACCCCTCCCCAATTCCTCCCCAGGAACAAAAAAGGGAAGGAGGAGCCCCCCCCCCACCCCAAACCATCGCACACTTTGCACAAGCCACACGCACAGGGTGGGGAGGGGGCGGCTCCCACTGCCCCCCCCCCGCCGCCCCCCACCCCCAGCACCCTCCGCAGGGACCCCCACGGTCCCCACCCCACCCCCAGCGACCCCACCCCTGTTTTGGGGGGGGTGGGGGGGGTGGGAAGGTCTCAGCTCCTCCCCACCCACCCCCCCCCCCCATGGCCATGGAGACCCCCCCGGGGGGAAGAGGGGGTCCCCGAGCCCCCCCTGGCCTAAGGAAGGAAGGGCTTGGCCAGGCCAATAAAGAGAATTTTCCAAGGGTCAGCAGCCTCCTGCTCCTCATTCAGCCACGGGAGGGGGGGTTTGAGGGGGGGTCTGCATGTTGGGACCCCCGGGTGGGGTGGGGGCACCGAGCCCTGCCCAGGGAAGGGATGGAGGGGAGGGTGGGGGGGTTTGTTAATAAAAACATTTATTTTGCATTTTTTTGTTGTTGTTTGTACAGAAGTGCCCGAGAGCTGCGAGGAGCCGGGGTGGGTTCCGGGGTGGGGGGGTGGGTGGGTGGGGAGGGGTCCCAGCTCTGGCTCCCGGGGGCTTCAGGCAGGGTTGGGGGGCATTGGGGGGGTCACACAAACACGGGGGGCACGGCCAGGGGAGCAGTGAGGAGTGTATCGAGTCCCTGCAGGGGGGCCCGGACACGGGGCTGCACTGAACCCCTCTCGGGGGGTGCAGGGGGGCAGGGGGGGTGGGACCCCCTCCCCAAAACCCTGCCAGGACCCCCCCACCCAGCCCAGCAGTGTGGAGAGCCCGGGGGGCCCCCAATGTGAGGAGCCCGGGGGGGGGCTCCCAGTGTGCGCAGTGAGAGCTGCTGGGGTGGGGAGGGGGCACTGGAGACCCCCCCAAGCACCAGGGCGGGGGGTGGGGGGCTGGGGGACCCTAGGGTGGATTGGGGGGTCCCGAGGGGGGTTCAGTGGCGGGGGTGGCCGGGCCGGGCCCGGCAGAGCGGCGTTCTTCCCTGGGGGAGCCCCGTCCCCGTCCCTTTTTCAGGCAGATTTGTACCCCACGAGCTGCATCAGGCCCTTGGTGCTCATGGATTTGGGTCTCTCCAGGGGGAATCCCAGAGCTCGGCTCCAGATGAGCTGCGAGAGGACGCCCAGAGCTCGGGAAACGCCGAAGAGAACGGTGTAGTAATTCATCTCCTTCATGCCATAGTACTGCGGGGACAGAGGGGGGTCAGGGAGGGCACACAGGGACCCCCAGGGGACAGACAGAGGGACAGACGGGACAGACAGAGGGACGGAGGGGACAGGGACAGATGGGCAAGAGAGGGAGAGAGAAACGGGGGAAGGGAGGGAGGGAGGGATGGGGAGAGGAATGGGCTGGGAGAGGAAGGGTGGGATGGGGAAAGGGATGGACAGGACAGGGAGAGGGACAGACAGAATGGAGAACACAGAGAGAGGGACAGACAGAATGCAGAACACAGAGAGAGGGACAGACAGACAGGGAGAGGGACAGACAGAATGGAGAACACAGAGAGAGGGACAGACAGACAGGGAGAGGGACAGACAGAATGCAGAACACAGAGAGAGGGACAGAGAGGGACAGAGAGACGGAGAAGGACAGACAGGAAGGAGAACAGAGAGAGGGACACAGACAGGGAGAGGGACACATGGACAAGAGGAAGGACAGACAGAACAAGAAGAGAGATGTGGACATGCAAAGGGATATATGGCCAAGGAAAAGGACAGACTAACAGGAAAAGGGACAGACAGGGAGAGGGACACACAGACAGGGAGAGGGACACATGGACAGGAGGAAAGACAGAACAAGGAGAGGGATGTGGACATGGAAAAGGATACACAGACAGAGAAAAGGACAGACTGACAGGAAAAGGACAGACAGGGAGAGGGACAGACAGACAGGAGGAAAGACAGAACAAGGAGAGGGATGTGGACATGGAAAAGGATACACAGACAGGGAAAAGGACAGACTGACAGGAAAAGGACAGACAGCACAGACACAAGCGAAGCCCCAGAGCAGCCTGGGCTCACCTGCAGCAGGACCCCGCTGTGGGCATCCACGTTGGGCCAGGGGTTCTTGGCCTTGCCCTGCTCCAGGAGCACGTTGGGGACGATCTTGTAGAGCTGAGCCACCAGCTTGAACAGGGGGTCCTTGGGCAGGTGCTTGAGGGCGAACTCCCGCTGGCAGGTGTAGCGCGGGTCCGTCTTCCGCAGCACCGCGTGCCCGTAGCCGGGCACCACCTGTGGGGATGGGGGGTCAGAGCTGCTCCTGAGCCCTGGGACGGGGCCTGGGATGGGCCTTGAGCCCTGGGATGGGGCCTGGAATGGGCCCTGGGACAGGGCCTGGGATGGGCCCTGAACCCTGGGATGGGCCCTCTGAGCCCTGGGACAGGGCCTGGCATGGGCCTTGAGCCCTGGGATGGGCCCTGGAATGGGCCCTGAACCCTGGGATGGGCCCTCTGAGCCCTGGGACGGGGCCTGGGATGGGCCCTCTGAGCCCTGGGACGGGGCCTGGGATGGGCCTTGAGCCCTGGGATGGGGCCTGGAATGGGCCCTGAGATCCTGGGGTGAGCCCTGAGCCCTGGGATGGGGCCCTGGAATGGCTCCTGGGACCCTGGGATGGGCCTGGGACGGGCCCTGAGCCCTGGGATGGGACCTGGAATGGCTCCTGGGACCCTGGGATGGGCCTGGGACGGGCCCTGAGCCCTGGGATGGGACCTGGAATGGCTCCTGAGTCTTGGAATGGGACGTGGAAAAGCCCCTGAACTCTGGGATGGCTCCTCTGAGCTCTGGGATGGGCCCTGAACCCTGGGATGGGACCTGGAATGGCTCCTGAATCCTGGAACAGGCCCTGAGATGGGGCCTGACCCTCTGGAATGGGCCCTGGAACGGGACCTGGAACAGCCCCTGAGCCCTGGAACAGCCCCTGAGCCCCGGAACGGCCCCTGAGCCCTGGGGTGGCTCCCCTGAGCTCTGGAATGGCCCCTGAGCCCCCCATAACCTCTGGAATGGCCCCCCTGAGCCCCCCTGATCCCCGGGATGCCCCCAGCTCACCCTGCCCGAGTTGAGCGTGTTCCAGATGAAATCCCTCAGCTTCTCGTCAGACACGTCCTTGCCCAGCTCCTTCTGCAGGTCCGTGAGCCACAGCAGCACCTCCTGTGGGCATGAGGGAGTGAGGGCAGGGACAGACGGACAGGGGGACAGGGGGACAGGGAGAGGGACAGACAGAGAGCAGGGACAGACAGACAGACAGGAAGCAGGGACATGGACAGAGTGACAGGGAGAGGGACAGACAGACAGAGAGCAAGGACACACAGACAGGGAGCAGGGACACACGGACAGGAAAAGGGACATGTGGACAGAGAGCAGGGACACACGGACAGGGAGCAGGACATGGACAGAGTGACAGGGAGAGGGACACACGGACACGGAGCAGGGACAGACAGGGAGCAGGACACACAGACACGGAGCAGGGACACACGGACACGGAGCAGGGGACAGACAGGGAGCAGGGACAGACAGGGAGCAGGGACACACGGACATGGAGCAGGGACAGACGGACACGGAGCAGGGACACACAGACACGGAGCAGGGACACACGGACACGGAGCAGGGACACACGGACACGGAGCAGGGACACACAAACACGGAGCAGGGACACACGGACACGGAGCAGGGACAGACAGGGAGCAGGGACACACGGACACGGAGCACGGACACACAGGGAGCAGGGACACACGGACAGGGAGCAGGGACACATGGACACGGAGCAGGGACACACGGACTCGGAGCAGGGACAGACAGACACGGAGCAGGGACACACGGACAGGGAGCAGGGACACACGGACACGGAGCAGGGACACACGGACACGGAGCACGGACACACAGGGAGCAGGGACAGACAGGGAGCAGGGACACACGGACACGGAGCAGGGACACACAGAGAGCAGGGACACACGGACACGGAGCAGGGACACATGGACACGGAGCAGGGCCCACCTGGTTGGCGAGGCCGTGCAGGGGCCCGGCCAGGCCGTTCATGGCGGCGGCGAAGGCCAGGTAGGGGTCGGAGAGGGCGCTGCCCACCAGGTGGCTCGTGTGGGCACTGACGTTCCCTCCCTCGTGGTCACTGCGGGGGGACAGCCCCGTCAGGACCCCCCAGACCCCACAAACAGCTCCCACAGCGCTCTGGGGGCTGGGGGGGACGGTGATGCCAGCCTGGTTCAACCCCAGCCCTGCCTGCTCCTGGTGACACCCACAGAGCCCCCTCCCCTATAGGGCACAGCCCCACAGAGCCCCCTCCCCTATAGGGCAGAGCCCCACAGAGCCCCCTCCCCTGTAGGGCACAGCCCCCACAGAGCCCCCTCCCCTATAGGGCAGAGCCCCACAGAGCCCCCTCCCCTATAAGGCACAGCCCCTACAGGGACCCCTCCCCTATAGGGCACAGCCCAGAGCCCTACAGGGACCCCTCCCCTATATGGCACAGCCCCTACAGGGACCCCTCCCCTATAGGGCACAGCCCAGAGCCCTACAGGGACCCCTCCCCTATATGGCAGAGGCCACAGCCTCTACAGAGCCCCCTCCCCTATAGGGCACAGCCCAGACCCCTACAGGCACCCCTCTCCTATAGGGCAGAGCCCAGAGCCCCACAGAGCCCCCTCCCCTATAAAGCACAGCCCCTACAGGGACCCCTCCCCTATAGGGCAGAGCCCAGAACCCAACAGAGCCCCCTCCCCTATAGGGCACAGCCCCTACAGAGCCCCATAGAGGCCCAGAGCCCCTCCAGGGACCCCTCCCCTATAAAGAACAGCCCAGAGTCCCTCCAGGGACCCCTCCCCTATAAGGCACAGCCCCTACAGGGACCCCTCCCCTATAAAGAACAGCCCAGAGCCCCTCCAGAGCCCCCTCCCCTATAAAGAACAGCCCAGAGCCCCTCCAGAGCCCCCTCCCCTATAAAGAACAGCCCAGAGCCCCTACAGAGCCCCCTCCCCTATAAAGAACAGCCCAGAGCCCCTACAGGGCCCCCTCCCCTATAAAGAACAGCCCAGAGCCCCTACAGAGCCCCCTCCCCTATAAAGGCACAGCCCCTCCAGGGACCCCTCCCCTATAAAGAACAGCCCAGAGCCCCTGCAGAGCCCCCTCCCCTATAAGGCACAGCCCCTGCAGAGCCCCCTCCCCTATAAAGAACAGCCCAGAGCCCCTCCAGAGCCCCCTCCCCTATAAAGGCACAGCCCCTCCAGGGCCCCCTCCCCTGCTGACAGCCCCGGAGCACACCCCAGGCCCATCCCCAGCCCTGCTGCTCATGCTCAG